GTTTATGTCTTGTCTCTCTCAATAATGTGTTTGAATTAAAAAAAAAACTGAAGGTATCTAAACATGCATTATATTACATTACATTACACTTATATTAGTATTCTTGAAGATGTTGACGGTTTATTTCTACTAGAGCAGTGAAAATAACAAGTTTTGAAAAAATGCAAAGAAAGAAGTGTTCATTAATTTTTTTCAGTTTTATTCAGTGTCACAATTAAAAATATGTAAAATTCGCCGTAAAAAATCCGAGTAATTTTTATAAAAAAACTGCGAATCAGTCATTTTACTTTGGTAATGATAATTTCCGTTAACTCGTCGAGATTAACGGGAACGGAGAATGGTCGCCGGCGCGGCGGCTTCCAGAAATCTCTATTTGGGCGTCAGGTGTAATTTCTCGAGGACAGATGACACACACAGCATGCGACGCGTTTAATCCGTGAATGATGAGACGCGGAAAGAACATCACGCATATGGAATTTAGAAATTGTACTCGAGTCAATATATTGCGTACAATATAAATTGCGTTCACGGCATACAAAAATCGATTGGCGATTAATGTCGCCTCGTGAAGGACGGAAGACGCGCGATTCCTTAACGGTGCGTATTAATCGAAGAGATTAATCGTACGCTCCTGAGAGTTTTCCAGCGGACACGTGCAGATTTCGCGGGAAATCAAGAAACTCCCGTTAAATGCGTACACATACGCGGGAAATCAAGAAACTCCCGTTAAATGCGTACATACGCGAGCGCACGACAGTCTCTCAAATGAGATACCAGCTTTATAATTAACCTGAGAAAGTGTTTCTCGCAAACGATTCGTGCTTATCGCAGCCTATCGCGCGATCCTATCGCGTCTTTTTCAATGTGTCCCGTAGCGAAACGCATATCACCATATATGCAAAATAACACTTTCGCCATTTTACTTTTTCTCCTGTGATATTACATAGATCACTCGATATTACAGCGCTCGCTGCGCTTTCCAAACAATTTCAAGTGATTTAATCTGAGGTGAGAAAGTACTGCAACCCGCGATCGCGTAGCGCTTCCAGTTGCATATGTATATAAACGCGCTTATACAACCCATTCTTCCATGAGACACTCCCCAGTGGCGGATAGCAGTGACTGATATCAGCAGGTTTTCCATGAAGCTGATATCGATCATCAAATATGTAGATGTAATGAGTCATTTGTATTACTAGGAGATTTATATAAGAAAAATCCTAGGTCGTATAACTGAGTCTGTACTGCAAAGTCTTCAAGGGACCAAACAAAAAGTCGGTTGTACACGGAGAAGAAAGACTGGTCGAATTGAACTTGATAATAAACACTAAAGATATCTTGAATGAAGGAAACAAAATTTCTGGTTCTTGGAAACTAAATTGAGTTTATAAGAATAGAAATTTTATTCCTTTCACTAGCGCGTTTGGTTTGTTCATTGTCACGTTCAAAATTCGACCAATCTTTCTACTCCGCGTAGGAGCAAATATATTCCTATAAGAGATTTCAGTCAATTACCTCAAGCGAGTTTTAACGCAGCTGAATGATCAAATTGTCTCGGTCGCGTTAACAGAAATATTATTTTTCCTCAGCCTAGTCCTCATTCTGTTACACAAACTAAACATTTTCCTGCGTGAGATATCTTTGAATCCACTTTGAACTGAATGTAACAAAATCGATCGAAAATCATTTTTATGATTTGAGTTACTTTCAGTAAAAAATCGCGATGATCTGTTTACTTTTAATGGCCGAACAAAATAAACGAATATATTCTCTCGTTTTTCTCTCTCTCATGTACAAATGGGTTAAATTAAACCAATTATATATTCTTATAAAAATTTATAATAAAAATTACTTTAGTATCTTGTAGCCAATATATATCGATATCATATCTGAATTTTTTATCCATCTGTTTCATATGTGTTATTTATATTTTATATAATGGTACATTTATATTTATATTATTTTAATACAATTGTGTTTTACAATTTATATTTTGGGAACTGGGAATCTACACGGAAAATTTTACTTCTTGCGGCTGAGTAAGAATCAAATGAAAATTCGGCGACGAGAAATGATACCTCTGATATCGCGTTTTAGCTGCATTATAGCTAAAAAACTTAAAAAAGATAAAACAACTTCAAAATCTTCAAAATCCCAAAAAGATATAAAATAATTTGGAATCAATATTCCTATGTATCTACAATCCTATTTTAATATTCTAATGATTAGTATTCTAACAAATCGGCGCGAAAACCAGACTGATTTAATCAATAGTCATATATTCTTTCTTTTATTATCTTGCTACAATTACAAGAAATAAGAAACACGGTAGCGTCTCACGTCAAGTGCACGAGAGTCGTGTATTATCATGTCGCTCTTCTATTTGAGAGATGACCAGACAATCATATCGCCATAACAGCTGATTGGATTAAGTTCTAAGTAGATTTAATCGATTCATCATGACCCAATTTCACGAGAAATGTTTTCATTTTTGTCCTAAATGCTCTGTGAGTTCCACCTGAAAGTAAAAAAATGCAAAATTATATTAAGCTGGTAATTTTCATCTGAGGCCTTATTCTCGAAAAATATCTCATACGATACTTCTATGAAAAGCCATAGTTCATGTTACGTATATTATAGCTTTTCATAGAAATATCTAATGCGAAAATAAATCTCCTGATCCCTATTTTTATTAGACAATTCAAGTTACGTTAACAGAATTGCTCCTTTCGTATACTATTTAAGAATTTATTATGTTCATTAAGAAGATAAACTACCGACAGTCTATTTCTGTACTACTAGAAAACGTGAAAAAAAATATGAAAAGGATTTACATAAAGAAAAAAGTTGTACAATATTTTCTCTGTGCATGCAGCGTGAAATTAATTCCGGCATTCAATTCATTCAATTCCGTGATTAGCACCAGGAATAATCCCTAATTACAAACCGGTCGCGACTGCGTGTTTACAAGTTGTCACGATCTATTTGGCGCGTCGATTGATATCAGTGCGCGTATAGAAAATCTCGGGCACGAAGTCGCGGACTTTCTCCGAACAATCGTACCCCGTTAATCGCGTCATCGAAAGTAAGGGACGCTGAATGGCAATCATGGTGAAAACATCTTATCGGTTAACCCACGCTGCGGTCACCGGTTAATTTCGCTGCGCGACGAGATGTTTTATATGAATATTTTTAACGGTCGGCCGAACGTGAGATTTTCGCGGATACACGGATGAATGCTGGAAGTGCGAAGAAGTCGCACAGACATCCGCGCAGTCACCTGTTTCGCGCGCGCGATAAAAAGATCGCGATGATCGATGGCGAGGAAAAGCTTTCTCGACTCACAATGGGATGTCACATCGGATATACTGAATCCGGAACAGCGTGTTGATCATCATCTGTAACCTGTTGTTCCCGCAACGTCGCGCTCTACAAGGTGTCTAACATTCTATTTCTCTTCCTTTCTTCCTCTCACAGAGAAAAAAATTCACTTAAGTATTCACTTAAAATTAATAAATGCAAATTAACACTATTTTAAGTATAAGCAACGACATTAGAAGAATTTTTAAATCGTCAATTTCGACAATACTATAATTTGATTTTAATGTTATAATAGTTTCATATAAATCTTTGTGTATATTTAATCTTATCTTTGTTTAATGCTATGTAATCTCATTTTAAGATTTACATGTCAAAAATAAAAAGAAGGGGGAGGATCTAGATGGTTATAGGAGTATGTTGTTCATGTGCTTTTTCTTAGTATTTATCTTGAAAAGAACAGTAGGTAAGCAAAATGGCTCTTTTAGAACATAAATACTATTCCCTAAATGTCATTAAAATCGGAATAATATTACAGTTAAAGAATAAAAAAAATTGATTTAGCAATGGAAAAATATAAACTTTTGAGCCTCTCGAAATTTTGTACCAATAATTCTACATTATGAGTGAATAAAGTTAAGCGACGTAGCCAGAATGAAGATTCTTGCAAGTGTATAATATACACTTGCAAGATTCCGAATAATAAAAGTAATTTTCATTCATGAAATGTTTGAAATCGAACTATGGGCGGATGAGGTATAATTGATCCATAATTAAAGACCAGCAGGAGGACCGTGAAGATCACTAGTGGAGATCCCGGAACTACTAATCAGGATACATATTTTATATGTAGCTCTTTTTACTAGTAGCCTGCGCTATTAAATAAATCCGGTACCAAGGCAAGATGGCCACGTTGCTGCATATTTATATTTTGTTTATTACAAAACAAAATACACGGATCGTGACAGGCATTAACACATAGAAAAAGGCTGCCTCTATCATGCTTGTAGAGTCAATCCCAACAATTAGGTGTCTGGAAAGTTATAATCCTTCGAAATTTCTTTCCTTCGAAAGTTATTTCCTTCGAAATCCTGAAATATAAGACATTTAGCCCCGTCTATTCTCGAAACATTCTCACAAACAAGAATAATCCTCCTCCTGTGCTCTGTTTCTATTTCCGCTTTCTATTACTCGCAATTCTTTTTTAACGTCCCCATCAACTAGCGATCAATTTATTCCAAATGAAAGTTAAACGAAGCAGTCTTCTTTCTCGCGAGTCCAAGTGTCTTCACAATGAGGTCCATTCCGGACCGGATAAAGGACAAGACTTCACGTTCTTTTTTGACCGGTCTTCAAGGCTTTATTCGCGGGACGTCCTTTGTCGGGAGACATTCAACTGGATCGAAAGAGCTTGGACACAAGCCGAAACACCCTGTATAACGTGGGGCAAGAAAAGAGCGCGAAGAAGCTGCGCGCATAGTCTCTTGACCGAGAGTAAAGCCGCGATCTCTCGGAGGAGAGGAGGAGCTCGACTGGCCGACTTCTTCCTTCTCTCCGGTACGACACGCTTATCCACCAACCCAGCGACGGTCCGGTTTTCTCGGTCACGGCTGCTCGAGAGGGAGACCCCGGGTTCCTACATTATCCCCACGTGGTGGCCGCGGGGAAGCTGTTGGTCGTCTACCTCCTCTACTCGGGAGAGCTGTGGTCTCGCACTAGTTCGGCGAACGAATCGGCCGCAAGTGGATTTCGCGTGCGGATTTTGGCACGGAGAGGTCCGAGACGGTTGTCTTTGCGAAATCCTCGTGGTTAAGCTTCGCGTAAGGGTGCGCGCATCGCGAGGGGAATCCTTTCGGCGAATTTTTTCATGACAGCGCTTCGCGATTACGCGGAGAGCTTGATGAACAGTCGCAGTGGCAGTGACAGTGTGATCCGTGATATATTCGCAGGTCGCTTGATATCGAAACTGTTGATGAGACTCGGTGACGATTGTTACGATGAGGATAAAACGGTCCTGCTGGGTGCTGCTGGTAAGATCTCCCTGCTACGATCACAGATCCCTCATTCTGACTCCGTGATTTCTGTCTATCTCCAGGATAGTCTTATTGAAAAGATTCTATGATGCACACTCGTGAGAAGTACTCAGAAAGAATTATAGAAAAAAGAGAACATATATGTTTTTTACGAAATTTCTCTCTACTTTTACGAAATAGGAAAGTCCTGCTGGGCGCTGTTGATAAAATCTTTCTGAGATGCACATTGAGAAGAAAAATGTAAAAAATAAAAATATATTTATCTTCCGTGGGTATCAATAATGAAAAAAAGTATTTACTTAAATCAGAAAGATAGATTAATGAACAGAATTTACTCAAATATAAATCCTTCGATTTAAATGGAATAAACAATTGTCTGTCGCATGAAAGACTATTGGAAATGTGAACTTTCTCCACTTGACAAGAGCTTTTTCTCAGTGCAAAAATATTGATGTAAGGATAACTATGTATTAGTATTCACGCCGAATAAACATTCTTTGTTTTGTAGACATTTTTCCCCTCAGTGCACGATCTGTAGAAATTAGAAATTGCTCCAGGACGCCACTTGCATTTCTTTATTTTTGTCTAGCGTCGAGTTTTTATTGAGAGACTTTTTCACGCGTGCACGCGTGAGAGACTCCGGCGGAAAGAATTTCAGAGAAGAAAATGTTCGATTACATTTTTTGCGGAAAAGAGATAAAATTTCTCTCCGTTCTTGCATGAGAAGTAGCGCGCCAGAACTTCATGTGGATCAAACTGCGGATCGCCCCGTTATCGGCGTCCATAATTACGCCGCGCGATGATCCCGTCCGCAGCCGTTGACTCGTCACGAAATCACGCGCATAAACAAGTTCCACTTAGGCCGCGGCTCTTCCGACCGGGGACGGACCGATTGCTCGTGTGACGCTTTCAGCTCACCTGGTCCAAAGTGGAACAACCTTTGTCGCGGCCTTGATCCAGCGACCCGCTGAAACGGGGAAAAGTAATGAACGCTCCGAGCACGCGCCGGAATAGCGAGTTCGCTCTCTGCGCGCGGAAAGCCGCGAAAGGCTTTTCATTAAGCGCGATGAATATGGATGCCGTATGCCCGCGGATACTTGCCGCAACGCGGGAAGGATATTTACCCGTCCGGTCACGCGACTCCGTTCATGCGACTCGTGAATGCCAGTGAAATCGGCTCGCTGATTATTGGGTCGTTACGTGGATTATAAAGGACGAGCGAATCAGGATCGCCTCGCCTCTGCACAGTAGGATCAAGCGCGCGTGGTCTCCTGCAAAAATCTATCATTTCATCAAACATTGCGATTAGCTCGCGTGTAGGGGAGATCGAGACTAGATGCCTTGTATTTTAGAATTTCGAAGTTCTCAGACAACTAATTGCTGTGACTGATGGCGAAATCGATTAGCGCACGTCAATACACACTAAGGCTGTTTCATAGTCCACTCTAATATTTAAGATCATTAAATTCGCGACCAAATGTTCCATTAGTGCAACGATTCGTATATTACCTGAAGATGAAAATAAAACAAATTTTAATATAAAATAAAACTATAAATACAGCTGAAAGCACGGACTATCAATCTTAGTGTGCATTGGTGCGTACCACTACTTTCAATCAAATTTGCCGTGATCGATGAACCTTTTTCTATGTACTGATGCCAACCATACCTTGTCGCCCGTATATTTTGTTTTGCAATAACTAAAATACCAACATACAGCAATATGGTCATCCTGCTCTGGTTTAGTTGCGCAGAATAAAAAGGCCACGAATGAAATAAGTATCTTAGTCGGTAGATCCGGAATATCTACAATCTTCCTATCAGCTCTTAATTGTGAGCTGACTTCACCTTCTCCGCTTAATTTTGATCATTTTATGAATAAAAATTACTCTTATTTTCCGAAATAGTATATCATACACTTGTAAAAAACTTCATTCTAGCTAATATAACGTGTCGCCTAATTTTATTCACTCACGTTGGAAAATATTAATACTAAATTTTAAGAGGCTCGAAAATTTGCTACTAAATCAGTTTTTGTTTCTATTGCTCAACAGTAATACTATTCTAATTTTTAATTAGAGTTTTATAGTCTCCGTGAAAAGTTTCTACAGGCCTCTTGCTGGCCCTTAATTATGAGCCAACTTTATCCGCTCATATACTCGGTTTCAATCATCTTATGCATAAAAATTGCATTTATAAACAGTATCATATACTTGCAGAAAATTTCATTTTAATTAGTAACATATCACTTAATTTTATTCAGTCTTGGTAGAGAATACGAAATTTTGAGAGGCTCAAAAATTTTGTTTTGTTATTACTAAATCAACTTTTTTAATTTTTTAACTGTAATATTATTCCGATTTTAATGAACTCTGAGGATGTTCTAAAAAGGCCATTTCGCGGTTTTGCATTCACTGTTGCTTTTAAGATAAATACTAAAAGAAAGCAGATAAACAACATATTTCTGGAGCCATATAGCCCCAATCTCTTCTTTAAGCAAGCCCACGGTTTCCGCGTTCGTGTTTCCGCGAGATAAGAGGCGTGTCGCCTTCATTGGGGAGAAAAGCATCGGGGAAGGACATTCTCGCGGTCTGTTTCATTAATTATTAAGACTCATCTCGAGTAATTAACGAGCATCGACTGTAAGACCGCCGATCCGTTCCACTAACACTGATGAGACCTAAGTGTCGATAAGTACAAGTATCGCGTTCCGACTCATTAATTCGCCACGGAGTATCAATTTATAACGGCCTCGTGTCGGCTGACGAGTGACTTTCAGCGTGCGATCGCCCCGTAACCGTGACAATAATTGAGTCGCTTAGTTTAAGTAATTAAATTGGAGGCACCGTTCATCGCGTCGTCCAATTATGGACCGGCCGACTATTAAGAGCCGCCCTGAATGAAGCTGACGGCCATTTACTTTCACTCAAAGCCGCGCCGAAATCGTGTGCACGTATATAAATTACGCGAGTGCGAGTCATTTAATTCGGAACGGCCTTTCGACGCGATTCAACCCGCGCGACGTTTCTCCCGCGATGGAATTCTTTCGGCGGAAAAGAGACGCAAACATTCGATTACAAAACGGTGGCCACACATTTTTCCGAATGTAGTTACAGCGCTCCTGATTGTCGCAAATTAAGAGACACTGCTGACGCGTTTGCGATTGCTGATCAGTTGCGACAATATATACAGTATGAAAACAAGTTTGATCAATATAATATTCAAATATTGTTATCCTCCCGTAGTTAAAATTACGCACTTGTGAATTTTGAAGGTTTAAAAATATTATAAGATGAATTTTGAAGGTTTAAAAATATTATAAGGTTTAAATTGAATAGTTTTTAATCCGTTGAATAGTTTGAATCCGTTGAAATCGATCGACGATCTTTCATTGAATTTATTCAAATGGATTAAACGATCAGTTAAACAATCTCCAATTGAATTGGCTTATATTAATCGTCAGTTAAACACAATAATTAGTTAACGAAGTAATTAATTACTCAAAATCCCGTATGACATGAATATGTACATACGACTGTATGTACATGAATCGTGTCTGAGATATATATAGATTGTATATACGAATAAACGAATTGACTATCGTACAACTTTCACGTTTCTTCATTGCTAATTTCTTTATGGGCGAAGTCATGGTTTTGATTTTCATACTTGTGGCGAAAGCTACATTGTTAAATTTAAATTGATTTAAACATTTCGAGATATAATTTACCTCGGGCATGAGAGAGGAAGAAATATTTTTTTATTGTACCAATCTTATCTCCGTGAATGTATATATATGTGTGTTTGTGTGTGTGTGTGTGTGTGTGTGTAGAATTATGTATGTATATATGCATATAAGTCTATTGAAAAAAGAGTCACATACAATTCTTATTTTTTCTTTACTTTTTCTTTCCTTTCTCGACGATTGCATAAAGTTGCATCGCGCAGTTGCATCCCACGTGCTGCAAAGAGCGCACGTTGCAGCCACAACCGCGTTTCCGGTGCAGCCGTTGTTGTTTACCCGGACAGGCTTCCTCCCTCTTTTCCCATTATCTTTCTTCTCCTTGCGAAAAAGAAAGAGAAGAGAAAAGGAGATCTTTCGCGCGTGATAGGCGATTCACGTTCTTGGCAAACACGAGATACGTGTAACGTAATTTACGCTTCCTTGCGGTTCATTCTCCGGCTATGTATAGCGCGGCGGCGTTGCACGCTCGTTACGATTGTTCCTTTCCGGAAGTTGCATTTTATTGTCCCCTTCTTCCCGTCGAGTCGCGCACTCTTTCTCTCTCGCACGAGCGCTGTTTTCACTCGCGTTTCATTATAAATGTCGTCGCGCGCGATGCTCGGCCTAATTAGCGGTGACAAAAGTTAATATATTATGCTACACGATGACTTGCGAAAATTTTCTTTCATACATTCCACTCCTTGTATCTCACGATCTTAGGTCAACGGTTAATTATAACTCGTCATATCGTCCACGCTTAGAATCGTCATGTCTCCTAATGAAATTCTACACATTGTAAAGAATTTCAAATTAAATTTAACACATTACACATGTCCCAATTTATCCGCTTTGAATTTTGGATTAATTTGACACAGAAGATAAATATATAAATATATAACACAAAATGTAGAAAATTAACATAAAAATATATAATATTTCACATAATACGTTTCTAGTAGTGCAAAAATAGATCATTAGTAAGATTTATCTTACTAAGGAACATAGCAAATTATAATTCCTCTAGAAACTAACCAAATTTTTTTACAAGTTATCTGACTTCCTAAAATATGAATAGCACATACACTATGAGAGAAAAAATATTTATTATAAAAAATAAAAAATATTTATTTGATTAAATGCTATATTAACATATTTACTTAAATCTAAATTTTTATACTTAAACAGAATAAATTGCTTTCGTGAAAAGCTAAGATTTTAAGAAAATATATATTTCCTTATTTAAAAAAATATTTTATATTAGAGTATATTATTAATACCCATCGAGAAAGAAAAGAGAGAAAGAGAGAGAGAGAAGAGAAAATTAATATCTTTTATTTCTTAGATATTTTTTCTCTATGTGTATGAAAGGATAGTCAGTTATTGCGAAATGTCGACCTATTCCTCGATTACAAAATTGCATAATAATTTTCATCACGAAATTCTCTCCATAATTATACGTAATGCGAGATTTCTTGTTTCACTCATTAGACAGTCGCACTGCTGTCCCCGATCAATGGCGAGAAGAATGCTGATGAGGTGGACGATGGCGGCAAGACTCAGGCGAAGATATCGACGTCGCTCAAGCTCGTCGACGAGGACGGCCAAAACAGGACGGACAAAGTACGAGAAATAGGCTCGACAAAAAATATCAACCGCGTAATGATTCATTCTCTCCCGCACTGATCTCACTGTGAATCGCATCCTCTCTTCTTTCAGGCGATGAGGCCGCCGGAAAAGCGAGAACAAATCGGCGAGCGAATATCGACGACACGTAGCGTGTCACCGCCGCAAAAATTATCAATGGCAGCATTAATCGCCAAGAGAACGTCGAATAACGACACGACCTCCTCGACGTTCGAGGAAGTGCGTTCCCTCTTGGGCGGCAGCAGGGCGAACGCCAGCAGGGAACTCATGCTGCCAATCAGTATGGACATCACAAAGATCATATCTGAAGATTCCGTCGAGGAGACCGACGAGGAAGAGGAAGAGGAGGATACGCCCGAGGCGTTACCCGAAGTTAGTGAACATTTTAGAACTCAAGATTCTATTAATATTCAATCACATAAATGAAAAAGGGGGGTAAGAATGCAAGAGTCATAACGATGGCTAAGATATCTGCACTGAGAGAAAAAATATAAAAATTAAAATATATTTGTTCGATGGGTGCTAATGACATGTTTACTTAGATCTAAATTCTCTTATTTAAATAGAATAAACGATTGCTTTTATGAAAAGAGTTAAGGTTTTAAGAAGATTTATTTCCTTATTCAAAAAATATTTTATATTAAATAATACGAGTAGATATATTATTGGTATATCACCAAATAAGTATTTTGATTTCTTAAATATTTTTCTGTCAATGTAGTTTGCAAAGATGACTGGTCCTTCAGTTCAGAAAACTCAGAATTTTTCTTTTAACTTACTAATCCTTTGGACACAATGGTTTCACCGTGAGATCACCTATTAGAAACCATAGGTATGATGATCTCGCAACGAAACCACCGCTCAGCCTGTGTATAGTGATGGAAATATTTTGTTGCACGATAATTGCACAGTGGTTGTATGATAAAGCCATCCCTATTCTGTACAAATAAGAAAATAGAAAAAATTGATTTCAAAAAGAATGATCTCTTGGATTATCATTTTAGGCATGTGATATGAATATTTTATTAAAATTCGAATTTTAAAAGTTCTGTGCTTCAAGGTTAAGATCTCTTTACTTTTGTTAAAATCTTAAGAAACTAAATAAGAGAAGAAATTTTTTAGTGCAGTTTCAGTGCGATTTTCTCCCGAAAACCTTTGATTTTATATTTACGAGGTCTCACTTCTTAACCTATTGAGCTCTCTCTATTTATTGCAACATAAATCATACAATATTATAATGTAATATTATATCGTGTGTGCAATATATTTTTTCATACTGCGCTATAACTGCCGTGCACAGTTTCTTATTGGCCATTTCCTTTTCTGTTGGTTAGTGAAAAATATTATACGCGAAAAAGTGGGCATAGAAATTATATATTACGTAATTTATATATGCTGTGCACATTACGTTAATGATGTAAATTATACGTATTAATTATACGTACGCGGGCGTTTCCGTCGCGAATAATCGTCTAGACAATCGCGCGCGACTTTTCTCTCGCCGTCGAGCGCAACGCGGTAGAAAGTCGCATTCGACGCAACCACCTGTCATAAATTTCAGCGGGATTTATCTTTCGCGGTTGAATATGTAGATATGTTTCCCTCAACAGAAACAGCAGTACTCCTGATGTTCGCGCGCGCGCGAACGTCGAATTTAATCTACGAGGCGCGTGCAATAAATTGAAGTTGTGCGGCGATTTCTAAAACACGAAGTAGCAGACGTCGTCGTGTTCATTCTATTTGAAGATCAGCCGTCATAAACTCGTTGTGTGGGTTTCAAATCGTGATAAATATTTTTTACTCCCTACTAATAACATGCTATATAAATAAATAAATAAATAAATACATATATATATATATATATATTAATATATATATATATATATATATATATTTATATATATATATATATATATATATATATATATATATATATGTCGCGGTTAATTGCGTAACTATAAACTCGCTTCAGCCCATGGCTAAATCAATAAAATTAACAAAAAGACAATAATAATTGGAAATAAGATCGAAGTATTAATTCTGACTGTGGAAAAAAACTGACTAAGTCAATCGATTCTACAGGAAAAGTTATTTTTTGTGTAACTTTTCCTTTGTAGAATCAATTAGCTCAGTCAGTTTTCTTCTACAATCAGAATTTAATAGTTTGTTTATAACTATCTGTTGCAAAATTAATTTTTGCAAGCTGCTTTTTGTGTCAGTAATGATTTTTCACGCTCCAGTCTTATTTTCAATTATTGTTCTTTTGCTAACCTTACTAGTCTAACCATGGACTTTGATGAGTTAATATACGATATATTCGCCGCATAAGCTTTATTCAACATCCCCGTCCCTGGAAGAGCGGGCCACTATCTAAGATTTAGAACGACGCCGTGGACGCGCATCGTTCGCGCAGTTTCACTCGTAGCGACGGCCTTCAAACGGCACCTCTTATAAGAGTACTTTCACGCGTTCGACATATTTTATTGCGACGCCTCGTGGACCGTCTCGTGAATCTCGAGTGACGGCGGTCGTTGTACACACGCCGCCGGATACATCGTCGCGCGAGAACACGACTTTCCATTCGGGACATTAATTAGCGAGCGCGACCTGAACAGCTCCAGGCGGATGTGGATTTATTCTTCGCATAGATCAGCGACGATAGCGTCGTATAACGGCGGGTAAAACGGGGTGATCTGAGTAATACATGTGCGTGGGATCTTTATGTTCAGACATTTCGGAGACATTTTGCTCCCTTTTTCCCGAAAAGCGGAAAAATGTGCCAATCAATGTCAACACATCCGTGATAGATAATCCAAGAAAATATCAGAGACCTGAATTCCAGGTCGATAATAAAATACATCATTAACAATATATATAGTGCGTGTACACAGATCAGCATAATAGTCCTAACACGCCAATAATTGGTGTGTTAATTACTAGTATTAAACACGTAACAATATAAAAATGTTACTAATATAAAAACGTAACAAATATTTTAATGACACATTTTAATTCCTGAAATATAAGTAGCATACAAGTAAAATTATAGTCAATTGATATAGAATATGAATCTATTTCTCAGTTACAAAATTCTATAGTAACTTTTACTATAGGAATCCGTCCGCGTACACATTTCTTTCTAGACATTTTTTAACTATCATTGACTGCATTCAGCAGAAGTTAACGCTTAAGAGAATGTATTACTTATATCTAAAAAATAATAAAAACATTTCTGAAAAAATTAAAGAATAATTTATATTACATCTAATAAAAGTGATCACAAACAATTCATTGATTCAGAATCTGAATCAAAAGTTATTAATACGGCAAAACGTCTTTAATTTATTAATTCCTTTGATTTATTAATTCTTTTATTGACATAATATACACATTAAGCGTTGTTATGTTGTAATTATATTATTTTATATTTTAAATATTTCAAATCTACAAAAGGTTTAAAAATATTCTCCAATCACAGACAACAATCATGAAACGCTTATTTAGCACTGGATTCCGCTGATTGCAATCACTGAAACAGATATACTGCTTTATTCCCGCTCTTCTTTGAATGATCAATAAATAATAAATCAATGATATGTACAATTAGAAAATCCTAATAATCTATTTTTAATTAGATTTCTTTCTTACAGCAAATTTTTAATGATTTCAATCACGTTACACGACATATTAAAAGCACTACTGTTATTAGCACTATTATCCTAATTTGTGTGCATAAATAATGCACTAGCCACGGAGCGATGTTCCTCTTTCAATCTAAACGATCATTAAGGTCAGCCCGCAGAGACAATACTCGCTCGCGCTTATAATTATACGACGAATATATTGTTAAATTCACAATTTTCGCACGGCAAACCGCGATTACGCGTTTATTGTGCCTCGTTACCGTTAACCAAGGTAAGAAATTACCTTGTGAGATTTTATTCGCGAATTATATTGTTCAACTTCCGCAAAGCCGACAATTAAAAAAAGAATTAAGTCGAGAGAATTCGATAAAAGTTCCTATCGAACTGCGAGACGTCGGAACACCACGATTTCGCAGGAAGTCTTATAATTTATATGCACGCATTTTTTTCTTAATTAAAGGCCCAGGAATTACGATTGGTGAAAAGGCCCCACGATCGACGACGGCCGCTACCAGTGAAACCGTTGCGACCCATCAGGCCGTCTCCGCCGAATAGAAGGAACGTTTACACAGGTCAGCTTTCAGCGCATGGCAATCGGCGCTTGCGAAAAGCAACGTCATTACCAAACCATTACTGAGAAAAGTAATTTGTAACAATATCGACAAGTAACGCGTTGCTTCTCAATTCAGAGGGATTATCCTGTAACTTTTAATCACAACATCGTTGAACGTCGTTGAGCAGCTACTGAGTTATGTATTACACCTGCGCGATGATGTATAACGTTAAAAGATGCAAACATAAAGTCTTATTGACATAATATACGCATGAAGCGTTGTTATGTTATAATTATATTATTTTATATTTCCAATATTTCAAACCTAATTTGCGAATCCAGTGCTAAGTAAGAGTTTCATGATTGGAGAATATTTTTAAACCTTTTGTAGATTTGAAATATTTGAAATATAAAATAATATATAATTACAACATAACAACGCTTAATGTGTATATTATGTCAATAAGATTTTATGTGTGCATTTTTTAACGTTACACATCACCGCGCAGGTGTAATACATAACTGCTCAACGATGTTGTCATTAAAAGTTACAGGATAATCCTTCTGAGTTGAGAAGCAACGCTTTACTTGTTGATATTGTTACAAATTACTTTCTCAGTAATGGTTTGGTAATGACATTGTTTCTTCTTTCCGTTAATAATGGTAATGTGGTAAACGGTTGCTTATGTAGAATAAATGTGAAGTAAAAATACTCAATGTCTATGAACATACGTACTAAGCCTGGACATTCTTATTGTTTGCTTGTCTAGACTTTTAAATACAAATATTTAAACTTTTAACATAGAATATGTGTATACATATCGCGCATATTTTCAATATACATTTATACAGGAGTGAATATATATAATTATTGCCACCTTGAATATCTTCAAAGCAAAAAATAAAAGTAATTTTCAGATTTTTGAAGTTACTTCTTCTAGAAAGAATGTGTAACTTCTTATAATAAGAAGCTTTTTTTAAGTAGAACAGTTTCAAAAATTTGAATATCATCTCTGTTTGTGCCTTACTTTGAATATATTCAAGATGGCAATAGTTATCGTCTTATCCTGTATATTTTTAGAGTAGTAATAACGATGCCGAGCTTTTCAAAAGTAATTTTCCCTTCTTGATATACACAGCACTCCAATAGTGCCTTTTATTTTGACTCGGGCATATTATACTTACATGTTTTTGTATCACGACTGTTGATTTTGAGAAAAATCGATACTCAGCCACATTAAATGCAACAGCAATGTTGGATATATACATTCACCATGTATGTTACATTTAATGTGGCTGAGTTGCTGGTTCTTCTCAAAATCAGTCATGATACAAAAATACGTAGATTATAATGTCTGATTAAGAAACTGCCCAGCATTTACTTACTATTTCCTTTTGCCTAGTTTCTGGCCAGTATATAATAATAAATAAGCTAAAATATCCCCTAGCCGCAAATGGAAGGCATTATTGAAGTCCTGTGTAAAAGATTATAACTAAAAAATGAATTGGGATAAACAAGTGGATGAATCAATAGCCGATCGATTGCTTTCCAGGCCCGTCGAGAATCAATCCCGTAATACGGCCGTCTAAGCGACCGAATGAACAGAGACGACCCACAGAGAGCGAGTGTACTTTCTTCACGAAGACGGTGTGTCTCGAGGCCAACGATTATCCGCAGTGAGTCTGCCCCGAACTTTCGTTTCGCCGTTGAATTAATGACGGACATTGTTACGCGGCAATTTGCATATCGGCGAGATTAAAATCTTCCGGGCCGTCTTAATTGGCGAGGCTGCGCGCGGCGAGGTTTTCACTTTTCGCGTAGCCCCGCCTCGGGACGAACGACGACGAGCGTCCGAGGATTTTGGAGATAAATAAAACGAAGCATCGCGTGTCTTCGAGATCTCTCGGATGTTGAACTAATCGAGCGATAAAAATTAATTTACAGAAATTGAAGTTGCAGTTCGAATTTACGATTGAATTTACGAATTGAAGAATTGAAGAATTTTCGAAATTAATAATACTAATAATATAATAATAACTTTAACATAAGTGATAATAATAATAACTTTTAGATTCTTCTGAAAGTTGTCTGTAGGTAAATAGTTTGTTTACTAAATTAATTCAAAATCCATAACTACAAAAAATACATACGTAATAATACGTAATAATACCTATATACGTAATAATACGTAAATGGCCAGGAACTAAGCAAGAAAAAATAATAATCAGAAATAAAGCAACCATCTCAATAATAAATAAATTGCAAATAAAAGGAGTCTACTATCTGAAACACAAGTTTCACACTATGTTTACATTGAACAATAAAATACAATATTTTACAATATGGAGAATGAAACGATGAAAACTATTTAATAGAATATTTTACAAAAAATATTTGGTTAGAAACTGGTCAAAAACTGGCTAGAAATTGGGCAGAAACTATTTAGTTTTACTGTCCAATTACTAACAAAGTAAAAGTTACCTAAACTGGTTAGAAACTAGCCAATAACCAGAATTCTTGGTCAATTACTGACTAGGAAGAGAGAAGTCGGTCTCTCTACTTAGATTTTATAATATTCTCTTATAAAGTGACATACATTTACTCTTGTACAGAGAGAATAAATTTTTTTTCTGAGTACATGATTTTCTTAGAATTATGATGAGTATAAATAAAAAGTTATAGGCTCTTGAGACTTTATCAAAGTAAATAAAGAATAAGGCAAATAAGAGCCAACTGCCGATCTTAATAGCAAAAATCACAAATTAATAAAAGGTGATACATTACATACGTCTGAATTTTTGTACTTAAATAAATGTATCACAAGCTTTTATTAATTTGTGATTTTTGTCATCAAGGTCGGCAGTTGGCTTTTATTTTGGCCTTATTCCTTGCTTGTTATGATGAGTATGTTTTAAAACTGTTATCAAGAAAGGAGAGAGAGAAAATATTCTTTGTTGAAAAATACTATAACCATTACTTAAAAGAAGTAAAGTGAATTGAGTAATTGCCTTTCTCAGCAGTATAATAAAAAAATGTTATTTTCATGCGTGTAGAATCAACGCGATTCCCGCGTTTTACGCAAATGACAGACACGCATAAAGGGAATTTTCCGTGTCGGTGAAAATATCGCGTACCGTTGCTGCTCGCTTTCGCGCAGGAATGTTTAATAGCGGCCTTAACTTTCCAGCGAGGCGATAACAAGGAGTTTAAGGACCAATAAGGAAATGGTGGCGGCACTGCTGACCGACTATAAGATGCAAGATTACGGAAGCGCGGAGGAAAAATTGCCGATTGCCCAGCCGCTGGAGAATAAATTCGAGACTCGTTATGAGAACAGATACGAGAACAACGAAATTAGAAGGTAAATGGGCGAGATCCATTTGTCTATCGTTCTCGCCTTATTAAATTCTGTTAATTTCAAACGAACGAGCAGAAGAACTGCTTGTTAATGAAGCAGGCGAAATTTAAACATGAGAAATTTATTTTCTTGTTGCTCCACGTGTGTATTCTTGATTTCAGACGATCCGACAATCCTTTCGACAACGTGGAGGAGGGTTTCACCTGTCCGTCAACTGTCAAGTATGCTCGTCCGCAATTAGCGAGAGCTGCTTCCGGAGTCTGGAAGTACATAATAAACACCGGCGAACACACCCAGACCTTACGACTGGAGAAATGCTCGTAAGTGTGACACGCGATATATTATAACGTCCGGAAGAAAAGATGTAATTTATTTGGGCATTAATTATCGGATTATGTAATATTCCATCTTGAGCAATTAAATGAAGTATACGTGTGTTCGATGGCAAGCCATGACGAAGTCCGTCTGAAGGTATGAAATGTGGCTCGCGACGAGAAACTTAATCAAGAAATAATAAATAATCAATCGTGAAAGACGAGTGATGATTAGTTTGATTTTTCTTTTTTCTTCTTTCAAGCTCAATTATCTTCCCTATATTTTCAAATTCGATTAATCTCAATTATGCTCTTTGATAGTAAAAAGGTCATCCTATCTATTTCTACCTGGAAGTAAAAAAAGTCTTCTGATCTATTAATGAGAGTTACATTATTTCTGAAAAATTAGTCTCCCGTATTCTCGACATAGCAGATTTGTTTTAGCGTCATTGAAAACATTTATAATAATTTATTGGATATTAGTTAATTAAAAATGTGAAAATTAAATCATTATCTTCTTGGTTTTTAGAACAGAATTAATTATCAAAAATATATTTCTTTTTCTTATGAATTCAAATGTCGAGTTTCCTTTTAATATTGCCTACTTATATTGCCTTTATTATTATAGAAGAGAATATTTTGTAATAATTTATTACACATATGAAATATCATAGGACTATTTAATCGCCTTACTAAACTTCTTTCTAATAGTCTTCAGTTTTCCATGTTTTCTCATTGCAGTAATTATTATTAACAATAATTATTGATAATAATTATTAATTTATTTGAAATTAATTAAATAGTTAAAAAAATTAAAATTAATCCATTATCTTCTAGTTTTTTTTTTTTTAATATAATCGACTATCAGAAATTTATTTTTTCTCTTGGATCAATTATATATCGAATTTCTTTTCAATACCAAACGCACTGTTAAAAGAGAATATTCTGTAATATTTTATTACATAATATCATAAACTAAATTAAGTATATTATAATGCCTTCCAAATTCTTTTCTAATGATTTTGTTACAGCAATCCACAGTCAAGCTGTTCGTTCATCTCCGAGAACTACCGCTCCTCTTGCGTGCAAATTTACAATTACCACCGTCTACTGACCTGGGACCAGAAATTAGGACTTCACATGGACATCTTCAAGGTCCCAACCTGCTGCAGCTGCCACGTGCATGGCTACTCCGAGATTTTCCCGCCGCATCAGAAGGACCCACCGATAAAGCCGAAGGAGACGTTCCCGGGCGCGGATTTCGCCATCAACGACCACAAGGACGATTTCCAAGATCTCGGCAAGCCCGCGCTCATCAACAAGTACAATCCCATCACGAACTTCGACTCCAGCCTCAGTAATCTACTCCAGAACATTATTCGACGTCGCTTGACGACGCTGAACGAGCTCGACTAACGCGTCTCTTCTCCGTTTCAGTGTCCAGCAACAAGAAGCAAGTGCTGGACACCAGCCCGAGTAGACCGAGTTTCACCCTTCCCGGCAGAACCAGAACGAAGAAGCCTTCGACAGTCCCAAGGCCCTACGACAAATTGCCGCAGCAGCACGCGCCCAACACTCGAGCGCCAGGCTACAAAGGACCGCTGACGAAGGTCAACAGACCCAACCGACTCAGCAGGCCGTCCTTCAGGAGGGAGTCCACCTCCCACGTCGAGGATTACACGGAGATTCCCGGTAACAGCTCGATCAAAAACCGGTAAGTGAGACAGCACTTTGTATTAACATTATTTAAGCGTAAACTTAGCCCTACAATAAATAATACGCTTCCTAAACCAACTCGTGAAGAAAAATTACTTTAGATTGCAATATTTAAGATAACAAATTTAACAATATTAGATAACAAATTTATCGTTTGTGAAGATTAAGAAGAGTAAATTCTGTGGGATTTTTTAAATGCACTTTAAAGTTCTAAAATAATGTTATATATAGCTGAATTAATTTATTATTATACACACCATAAAATACACGTGCACAGGCAATAATTAGCTCATTTACACATTGATTATTAGTCACGAAGGCTTTAATTTATTTTATTTAATTTATTAAATAACTAAATTTACGCTTATATGGATCCAACATTAGAATCGTAGACAAGAGAGACCGGCACTGATTATCATATTTTTAAACAAATTAATTAAAGAAAGACGTATACAATATTTTTTTAATATTGTGTACATTTTTATATAGATACAATCTTTAGATAAGAAAACAAAATATTATCTTTATATATAATTATACAGAAAAAGATATTAAGTTGTACGCAAAGTCGTGCAAATGTGAATATCAAGTCCTTACCTAAGATTGGTTGCTGTATGTCTTGTACACTCATGTAATATGATATAAGCAACTATTAATATAAAGAAAAATATGCTCTTCTATTACGTGAGATATAAACTTTATGATAACTGATTCGTGTAACATCTACAAAGACCCGGAGTTCCCCTACTCGATTTAAATATTTAAAGTCACTTATTCTGGTCTTCGAGATTTCATCTTAAAGATCATTACATGTGATATACCGTCTCTAATATATGATATCTTTTTCTTAATATATTGAGCTTGTCATTAGACATGGCATTTCCAGATATAGCCAGCCGTACGATCAAGAAGTGGACGCTTCGTCGAGATTGCAGAATGGAGGCTTCGACGAAGAGTACCAGGAGCCGCACAAGAGAATCAACTACAACTATCATCCCATCATAGACTTCTTCAAGCCAGAAGCTTCCATGCTGCAAGCCGCCGAGCCGCAACACGTCACCCAGCCAGCGACAGTTCAAAACGATAATAACGCGTGGAAGCCAATGATAACTTAGAACGTAAAGTTCTTCCTTCGGAGTACCTGACATCCCGCTTCATTGAGGGTTCGAAATCGCGTGTTACACGACGCCTCCGCGTTTTCTGAATTAATGTTCACAGTGGTAAGAAATTAGTTTTTCGCAGAGAAAAATATAAGGTGTTCCCCGCGATATACCAAATGTCTATAGCAAAACTACATATCTTCACGTTTTATTTCTAAGTTGAGAAGCTCAAGAAAGAAACAAATGTGAAATATTAACGTGATTTATAAGACCACGTGTGTTATTTTTAAGTATAAAATTTGTATCCTGTGCGTTGAATTTATCTAATCAATTTGTTTAGTCTCAAAAACACAATTCGATTATAAACATTATAAAAGATACCAGATACTAGCGAGAAAAGAAAACAGATTTGAATATTTTGCCTGATTAGTTCTTTTTTATTTCATCATCAAATTATTATTACTGCCAATTGTATTTGTCACACAAAGACTTGATACTGATACAAAGATAATGATACGTTTTTACAACGTGTCATTCGAAGGAGGAGATTCTCTGTATAGTAATAAAATAAGAGTCAGAGTAGTTGTTAGAAAACATTCGTAGACATAGCCCTAGATATATACTTAATTGAGTATTATGGCCACGAAGGGCAGATGCAATGAGAATGTTCTTTCTCTTTTTATTTTATTTTAGCACATTCTATATTACGCCCGTTTAGACTTGTTATTTATTAGTCGTTAGCTCTACGAGTTATTTATAAATTACACTTAAAGACTCTTTTTACAACATTAAGATTTAACAAAAATAAGACAAGTGTGTTTCTTTACACTTGTTTTCCTGTATAAATATGAAATTGAAACAACCCTTCACATGTAATTCGACAAAATTAGGTATAATCAAAATCTTGGAATTCGCGAGGTAATATTGGGATAAAAATGTAATATAATATATAATAAAATTCAATATAAAAGAATGTTATATTATATTTAATCGTAGTTTGCATGAAAATTATAGTTATTATATTGGATTGTATTATATATTATTATAAAATATCATATTTTACAACATAATTATTACTTTATGTCATATCAAATCGCAATATATATTATTTTATATCATTATATAATAAAAATAAATGCTGCTTGCATCTTAACCATGTCACATTCTATTATTTATTACCTTGTCTCTCCTAAATCTCAAGCTGAGATTTAAACCAGTTCAACCAAAATCCAAAACAATATAATTTCAGTTTTATCCACATTGATCTACGTCTCAACGAAAATGATTTGAGTCACAACTAAATAAATTTTAAATAACTTGAATATTAACTAATTTTTAATGATTCAAGTCTCGGTTAAACCGATTTTAAATGGTTTGAGTCTCAACTATACCGATTTTAAATAGTTTGAGTCCCGGCTAATTTTAAATTGATGGTTTGAAATTCGGCTAAACCAGTTCGAAATGGTTGTTTAGCGTTGAATAATTGTTGAAGATACATTTTGCTTAAAAAAGACATATTAATTTAGTCAAAATTGGCTCTGCATGCATTCTGTTCCGTCATAGTATTGGATTCTCGTTTTAGGAGTTGACATTCGCGTAGGATGAATTCGTTCAGTGAATTTGTTCAGCGAAAAATAAATATAGATAAAGAAGCATTTGAGATTTTGCTTAAGCACACTTGTAAAATTGTCCGAAAGATATCCCTTTCCCCTGACAATTAATAAATAGTCATATAACTCTCTTAAAATGAATCAGTCAAACATCACTGAAAGTAGTGAATGTACACTGATTTACAGTTATAAGTATAGTATTGAAAGTGCTCAGTGCTATACTTATAACTGATATCAGTGACTATTCATTAATTCACTTTAAGAGAGAATGAATAGTGCAATGAGGCGTAATAAATGTGCATAATAAATGTAAAATGATGAAATGAGTCCATTTCTCTGCATGCCTCATTTCATCATTTATTATACGACTATTTATTAATTGTCAGGGGAAAGGGATCCTTTCGGACAACTTTACAAGTGTGCTTAAGCAAAATCTCAAATGCTCCTTTATCTATATTTATCTTTATTAAAAAATGATACACAATTTTCGTCGGCATGTCATTCCTCGCTTCTGACGTTACAAATTCAATATAACCGCGATAAGATACAAAGAGCCTTAATAAAGAACTTTTCCACGGTTTCTCTTATTATATATTGTTCTCTTCTTTCAAGATTTATTTGATTGCTTGATAGAGACTGATTTTTTATTATGCAACGTGTAGCAGCCGGTATCACAGACAGAAAAAGAGGAAGTTTGTGTGTGTGTGTTTGTGTGACTTTTTTTATTGTCACAAAGCAACCAATACCGATAGCTCTGAAGTAGCATAGCTCTCGATACGAATTGTGCACGATTACTATTTCCCCGCCGCAACTTACTTCGATCAACGATCTGTGAATGCAGTTTCGCGTCTCCGCGTTTTGAAATCGAAAAATCCCGCTTCCTGCAACTCGCTTTCGTGCCAAGGTGACTGACCATCGACTATTTTCACGGCGAATTGCGAATATCAGGATATCAGATTTTATGTGAAAACAAAAGAATATAGTCCAACCGTGTCATCCTCGTGCTAACGGAGAAAGTTGAATTACGTCCGTCTGTTTTGCAAAGACTTGCTCTTAAGGGTGCTCGGTAACAATGCAGAAACAGGAAGAGTCCTGAATCTGTTTTCTTATAGTTTGCTTTTTCTGGTACAACTTCTATTAGCGTACAACTTCCACTCGCGTCTTTGTCACTCGGTACACATCACTCGGTGAGAAGAGAAAGTGAGATCGATGAAGAAACAGGATTAACATGCGATAAAGCGCTCCGTTTACAATCGATGTACTACTATTTGAAATTGGGATTTCACGCTGTAAGAATCGTGAAATAAATTTGATCACGATGTCTATTAGTCATAATTATCATGTGTTCGAAGCCGAGACAAGTCAGTGTCGTTAGTGAAAGAGGTAAAAGCGCGATAAAAAAGGAAAAATCAGCCTCCATCAAAGAAATAATGTATGACGTATAATAAAATACGCGTGAGTCTGCCAATATGTTTGAAAACGTATTTTAGAGGTACTAAAACAAATTTATACCGAGGATAGTTAAGTATGTGTAAACGCCAATTGCGTTCTTACGATATGGCAACGTGTTATAGCGCGTAAAAGCATCCTCGTGAAAGGTATTACATCGTGCTGTAAATTATATCCTTGAAAACACGAAAATTGGTTATTAAAAGAGATCGCTCCTTATAAATTGATTTTCGTAAAGATGAATTAACATTTGTGTAATCGCGCGACATTCGATATTAGCTCAGTATTAAAAGAAAAATGCACGAATTTTATCCTTTAACATTTCCGAAAAAATAATTAAATAAATAAAGCCTGCAGACTGCATAATTATTACAATGCCATAAAACACAGTTGTTTGTATAATTACAATGTCATCTAAATATTTTGATCTCTTTTTGTATTTTAGAGATGCAAGAAGTTGTGAAGGAAGAGTCCATATTAACATTAAGTGAAATTTTCATCATCTTTTTCCTTGAGTTTGTAATTATACTTGTTATCGAGCGCGGACATTTACTACCCAAGAAGAAAACGCACGCATCCACTTGCCGTAAGCCCTGGAGATGGAAGTTCCATCTCCATGACGGTCCTCTCCGTCGGAATGAAGAAAGTCCCGGAGCTCAAGCGACACGCTTCGCGGCCTAACGCGGAAAGACGCGGGAGACAATCGCCAAGCGGAGCGAAGCGCGTCGTAGTCAGCGAAACGAACGATTCACAGCTGACTGATCGAAGTAAATCGTAGCACTTTGCGTCGTCGGATACTTGGGTCAAAATTTTACTTCCACATTAACTCTACAGATTCCGCTCAACTTGAGAGATCGATACCTAATAATGCTCCTTGAACCACAGATTCAAGACCTATCTTGAATCTGCGCACACCTTCAATTTTTACTTCTATTCAACATTGTTTAAATCTAAATTTAGGTACAAGGCTCAAATAGTCACAAATCTAAGTACAAGATCCAAACCTAAATTTAAATCACTCTTGACACGCAATATGGTTGAGCACACAGTTGCTGTGATTGCCCTAAACAACTTCTTCTTTATTGCGTCTTCAAGTTCTACCAAAATATTCAATGCCAATAAAAAAAATTCAAAGCAGTAAACTTTCCTTTATAAAAAAGGAATGTTTTCATTTATCCATCTAACTTCATGAATTTTTTTTTAAGAATTTAATATTACTTATATATGCTCCACTATAGTCTAGTAAGTTGCAAAATTAATGACTTGCTAATAATAAGGCTAAGGAGAAAGAGATAAAATGTGGATAAAATATCGAGGTAATCGAATATCCAATAATTCTTCAAGCCTGAACACAGAGAAAACAATAGTGAGTAACCATTTGTAACATTGAATGTAGGGCAATCTGCTGTGTAACGTCACATCTGGAGACGCTCTATTGACCCTTCACATTTGATGAAATTTACAGAAGCAGAAACGAAAATTTCGAGTCGAATATTTCTATTATTTGTATTTTTTATCGGACCGTGGAGACGCATCTCTGCATCTCTGCTCTACTCCTGCTCATCCTTTCCACGCGCGGCAGGAGTCCTCTTCTTGTTAATAGCGGCGCGTTTCTCCCGATTAACGACGCGACTCGTCCTTCCGAGTCGGGCTTTTATGAGGCGCCGTGCGCGCTCCAGCACTCGTAATTGAGGGTACGAGTGCGCCGTAATTAGGATATCGAAGTTCTAACGAAGTTTCTAATGCGCTTACCCGTGGATAGGTGGAGGAGGAGGAGGAGAAGGAGGAGCAGCATCGTCTGGGTGAAACGGCGAACGGCGGACGGATCCAATCGAGAGTGACAGAATCGTTGATCTGCTCGGATCCTGCACGCTTCGCGGAGCAGGGTCTCCGGCCGTTCCAGCATTTTTCACCCTACCTCGCCTTTCAGATCGCTGGAAAATATAAATTAGGCCAAGCGGCCCGTACCACCGGCCAGTTTAACGCAAGACCTCGATCGAAGATGATTAGAAATCACTGTGGTTCGCACCGGTCGCACGTAGATCGCGAATTTCTCTCTTTTGCCGCGACCGACGTAAATCCGTGATCCGTCCACCTGTCGTCCTGGAAAAACGCCGACGGAGGTCGAGCAGCGTAACAGTGTCGTCCTCCTGCGCGACGCGCGACTCTTCCTCGAAGCACGGAGATTCTCAGTCGCGCGCCGTTAGACGCTTCTCGCGTATCTAGTGCTGTTCTATCGCGATCAATTGCATTTTCATGTAATTAACTTCTTCAGGGATGAATTCATTAAAGTCAGAAGAAAGTTATTTTGTTTTGAAGTGACATAAATAGTTTCAAACAACGTTTGTTGATTATATGATTTCTCCTTTTCTTGTGGAACATCGTGGTGAATGTGTTTATTTAAAATATATAACAGATATATGTAAAATATATATATCATCAAATATATCAAATATATATATATATATATATATATATATATCATATATATCAATATATCAATATATTAATATATTAATATCTGAATATATCAATATATTAAAATATATATATATATATATATATATATATATATATATATATATATATATATATCATATCATATAAAGTATATATGTGTACATAAATATATATAAGATATATAAAAGATATATAAAAAGAGAATTGAATTCTGAACGTACATATATTAAGAAAAAAATATGTGTAATTATACGGAGAAATAAGTTATGATCAAAAAAACTATTTTTTAATTATATTCTTCTATAGTTATATTGTTAGTGATAACAATTTTATATGCAAGTATAGTTTATATGCAAGATAGTTGCAAGATAGTAGTACTATCATGTTACTACAAAATATATGGTTGAGGCTAAAAATAACTATAATTTTAGTTAGATCGATCCATTTCTTTCTTTCAGTACGCATGTGTCAATATCCCTGAAGAAATTAATTAATAATCAGTTGCAATCCGGCATATCGATCAGACCTAGCGACAGGTTTGCAGTAAAACGTATTCTAATTTTGACGGCTACTCGATATGAAAGTACTTGCACTATTCGACCTCAGAAGCGTGATGAGACTATTTTTCGCCGCCGCAGCGCGCTGAGAACTTCACGCTCTGATGGCCATTGGCAACCACATGTCGAACGCTACTTCCACGTTCCGATAGTGCTATGAAGCAAGAACTAATCCGACGGAATGGAACGACTACGAGAAACCCTTAACCTGACCGCCGTGTTCCTGCTAGCGATCGCTAACTTAGCCGCGTTATCGTCCTGCCAGAACCTCAGCACCTTCGCCACCACAATCGACATCGGCTCCACCGGCAGCGCCGATCAGCACACCAATTACTCCTGGTCGCAGCCACCGAACACGACGATCTCGATCTTTCAAGAGACCACGACCTATTTGCCGGTTCCGACAACTGACCAGACGCAGGAGATCCTCGACTCCGCGGAAACGGGTTTCCCATATCGTTATAGGGAACCGTCCCGTCTCGACGAGGAAGAAGAAGAAGACAATTCCGAGAAGCCTGCGGACCATGTGATACCTTATTCGGTGCACGAAGACGCGAGAGACGTGCCTACCCGGCCGGAATACGTCGCCCCGGGACTCTGGGCGAAGCCACCACCTGACAAGGACATCCCGCTCGACTTCGTGCCGACCAAGTTGCACGCGCAGGTCCGGGGAACGCATACCGTGAAGAGGTTGCCGCAACAAGAGGCGATTGAGAATGCGGAGACCGACGAGGAGAAGCATAACGCGCATCGTTTGAGAGAAATCGTCACCAACTCCAAAGTCAACACCGTCTACACCGAGGAGGGATACGAGGACTCGGCGTACGATCACGCGGGCCACGTCAGGGACGCCGATTTCCACGAGGGATTCGCGCGGAAGCTGCACGATCGAAAGAACGACAAACAGAGTTCTCAGAGCGGAAAGAGGAAGAAGGGAGAACACGGGAAACTGGTGCCTGACGAGTACAAGGAGTACGACGAAGACTATCAGGATCACCTGGAGGAGAACAGGAAGCGCGAGAAGACCTCAGACGATGAGCATAATTTGATAGGATACGGCAAAAACGCCTGGGAGAAATCAGAGATAGAACCCAAACTGGTAGTTGCGAATGGCGTGCAAGAGTTGGAGGAGGACATTGAGGAGGATGCCGAAGAGGCCGAGAGGAGCGAAAAGGTCTATCAAAGGCAGCAAGAATCAAGACCCTCCTACGAAGTCGACAGCTCAGAGTCAGAGGAGACACACGATGAGGGTGATTTAAGGAACGAAGAGAACAAGTCGGTCAAGTCGAAGAAGCAGAAGTCCAAATCGCTAAAGGAAAAGACCGATATTCTAGGTAAAGGAACAAAGACGTTGCGCAAGTCAGGGCAGAAGGAGAGGCTTCGTGAAGAAAGTCACGAAAAGATCGTACCTCCAGCTGAAGGCAGCGACAGTTTAGAGATCGACTCTGAAACATCCGCGAGTCCTCACGGTTTCGTGACGAACTCCCTGAACTTGGAAGTCACTAGATACGTCACTCCAACCTCGTTCCAACAACTCGACGAGCCGACGACGATCAATTACAGCCAGGTCCTGTGGGACTACTTCAAGACGAGCCAACAGCCGTTGCCAATCGCACTTATTCCGAACTCCACGACACCGAACCCGAGACTGGAAGAGCACACGCCAGTCGCGGTGGCCACCATCGACGGCCATGGTCCGTATCTGTTAGTGACGAAGGAGGAGACCTCGACATTGCCGTCAACCTTCTTTAGCACGAATTCCTTTCAACCGCAACGTCTCTTCTCTGACCCTGTAAACTTCGCGTCGAACTCCGTTGGAGAACAAGATCGTCTACCTGAACGAAGCGACGAAGTCAGCTACATCGGCGGCGTCAATAGCATGATAACCACGCCGACAGTCGCAACTTTCAGCAGCGTGCAGCCTCTGCTGCCCTTGCAACCCTTGCAGACCGCAAACATCGAAAACACGCAGTACTCCTCTTCGACGACCCTGCTTGACAATGTAGCGTCTACACCGACTATCATGACACTCAACTTCACGGAGGAAGCTTACTCGCGGGTTGACGATTATCAAGCGAACCCATTCCTCGGCCCCATCCTCGACAACAGCAACGTCGCTGTCACTCGTAACAAGTTCAAGTACCGAGTTCTGGTGAGACCAACGCCGAAGAAACCAGTTAAGCCAACAGCTCCTCCTCAGCCGCTCTACCAACAGACGCCTTCATCAACTATTCTCCAAGAGGATGACGGGAGCAAGAGAATCCGCGAAGACCTGAACGCCAAGTATAACAAAATACTGAATTACATCAAAGGCAAACACAAGATCAAGCCGCTCGCGGGAAGCAAGATTATTCTCCCGGGGGATCTCAGCCTGATAAAGCCGCCGGTTTCTCATCAGCAAGCCGTCTACCCAAGCTTCCCAACGAGTTATCCGATCGTGGAGCATTCGGGCGTGTCCATCGAAAGTGAGTCGTTGCGAGAGGCTAACAATTGGAGAGGCGCGTCGCGGGATCGCTCTCAACCGACTGATCCATCCTACCGTCTCAGCCCTCTCGTCTTCGTGCACCCTGCGCAGCTGTCTTACCGCAAGAACCTGCTTCCGGTCACGAAGCTGTTGCCGCCATCCCCGCTGCCGTTGCCGCCGATCGCGGGCACCTACATCACATACCACAGTCAACATAATGATTATCTTCCTCACGTCTTAGGCAGACCGCAGCAGCAGCAGCCACGCGATAACACGCTGAGACTTTTTCCGCTGACTCCCGACGCGAGCTGGAGACCCAGGAGGAGAAAGAGATCCGGTGATGGTAAGTTTCGCGGCGATTATGACGGCACACTCGATGTGAAAGCAGCGGCAAACAATGCTGCGGCTAATCTCGGCGCAGCGGATCAGCGAACTGAAGGTTCATCTAGGCTGATATCCGAGTGCAAATTGAATCTCGGAGTGGTTTGCCACGAGGAGTAGTAAATTTGTGTGGAACATCGCGATTAGGAAGTGGGGTTGGCACAAACTGATTAAAGTTTTTGTTGAGTAAAATAATTGGCAAATCGATAATCAAAATTAATCATCGTGTATGTAATGACAAATAATTTAATCGACTGATGAATCTAATTATTAATTAGAGTGCAATTAGTCAAATTAAAGTTTGATTTGTTTGATCATACATTGATTAATATAACGAATTTCATCAATATTGGGCATCAATTGATTGATATTTCTGTAAAGTGAAGTAAAAATTGAAGTAAAATAACCATCAAATCAATAAATTAATCAGTCGTCTTGTATGTAATCACAAACAATTTAATTGATTATTAAATTAATAAAATTAATTATTAATCAATGTGTAACCAATCCAAAAAAAGTTTAATTTATTTCATTATATTTTAATTACACTTTCATTATTAATTAATTTCATCAATGTTTAGTCATCAACATTCAACATTCAACATCACATTCATTAATAATCGACTAAGATTTTGGTTGACTAAAAAATTAGCAATAAACTAATATAATCAAAATTAATCAATTATGTCATATATAATCACGGATATTTTTTAATAATTTAATAATTAGTAATTCTTACAAATAAAATAAACTATATTAACTCGATATTTTTTAATCTAATTAGGACTTGCTATTTTCTTTTTAACACGCAAATTGTCTACGAGGATTTAATAGATAAATGATCATTTTTTCGCGCCAATACACTTCAGTGAATAATCAACCAGGACCAAGCTATCAACGACCTGTAAAATTGAATTTAGTTCTAGTCAGTTATTAACTTTTACCTCAATACTAATTATATTTCTACTCGGGTAAGACAAGGGGAAAGTTATCGAAATGGAGACTAATCAAGGGTGATACCCCTCGATTAATGTTTCAGACACGACGAGCGAAACCAGCCTTGTTATCGGCAAAAGTGACGAGAACGTCGACGAGTTTGCGAAGAAGAAGAGACATGTTTCACTGCGTGAAAGGCGACTGAGAGGAAATTCGAAGAAAAGCTTGACGAACGATGAGGATCACGAGAAGCTGCTGAACAAATCTCCGAAAATTAGCGGAGACGTTATCGACACAGAGATCGCGACGCGTTTCAACGAAACTGGAGACGCCAACGAGACTTCGACGGAGGACAAAGACAAAGGGAAAGTCGAAGTCGAAGTTCCTAGCTTCGATTACGTCGAAGAGCTCGCCGAAGACAGTACAATGAAACCTTCTACAACGACAGAAACCAATATAGACGGGAAGAAGTATCCCTTCTACAATAACAAGAACGTGCCTGTCGCGTCCGCCTTGAAGTACGTGGTCGACCCCAGGACAATCCCGCGGAAAACCTCGCGTGGAATGGAGTTCTACGACTCGCGCAACGCCTACAAGCAGTGCGACGAAGTAGAGGTCGAAGTGGACAAAGTGTTGCCCGAGAAAGAGGAGCCGGATCCGGAACGAGGTCCACAGGAGAATCTACCGCGTCTTCGTGGTCTGGGAGACAAGCTGGACTGCTTCAAAGCCAAGTACTTTGACGAGGACCCCTTGGACAACCCATTGTTCGCCGAGAAAGAGGTGGATGAGCCGAAACCACCCGCAGAATTGGACCCGGTGAAGTTCGCGTCCAAGGTCCTGCTGCTGCCCGAAGAGGACGACGACTACGTGGTGCACCGGGCTTCGAGGAAACCGGAACGCCACGGTCGCCAATGGAGGAGAAGGAATCCTCAGTACGAGAAGCACAATACGATACGAGTCGACTACAAGCACGACCCCAAGACTGGGAGAGGGAGGAACGCGTACTTGCATACGGTGAGGAGCTCAAGATTGCCGAACACCACGGTGCGCAGGATGAAGAACCGTGAACCGAAACCAAAAAGTGCCACCAGCACACCGTCCCCGAAAGTTAAGTACCAGACCGAGTCTTACCAGAATCAAGTGTACGAGGACGTGATGGGCAACATCAGAAATATGGCGAAAGGCTACGAAGTCTACGAGATAACCACTTTGCCGGCCGCCACGCAGATCCAAACGGCCGGCAGCGAGAACGCACCTAAGATCGCGGAGGACACACCGAATCTCTCCACGGAGAAGAACACGACGGACATCGCCAACGTCACGAGCGATAACGCCATGTCCTCAGAGATCAAGGGCCTGGTGCCTCCGCCGAAGTACTTGACTCCGAGGCGACTGGCGAATTACAGGAAGTACAGGCCGCTTGGTAACAGGATCTCGGTGTTGAGAGCTCCGAGTCTGCCTCATATCATTGCTCATCATCACGCTATCAAGATCAACAAGCGCAGCGCGAGAGCTATAAATTCCTCGGAAGATACGAGTGACAAGAACGAAAAGAAGACAGTTGAAAAACTGATAGAAGTCGTTGCTGTTAATGAAAACGACACGGTAACCAAGACGATGATGGCGACAAGCACAAATTCGACCCCCGCAACATTGGATTTAAAGATCGAAGAGAGCAAATTGGTATTCTCGCAGGAACAGCCGTTGTCATCAACCCTGAAAGTCGACGACAAGAAGAGACCAAGAAACTCGACGAGCAGCGACCTCAAGAACGAGGCGACTCCTCAGAGGGTCGTTTACACCATCCGAGATCGAATCAGGTACTCGAAGCCTAAATGGGACACCGAGGGGTTCGGCAAGTTCAGCGCAAGTCCGAAAACGACGGACGTGGACAGCAGGAGAAAGGAGCCCAGGTATAATCACTTCACGGGGAAGAGACCAGTCGTTGATTCGCGGGTCAATTCTACGACGCTAAGTACGATCGACAGCAACATTCTAACCATCGAAAGTGCAACGTCATCGACAAGAGGCAGGGAAAGTGTTACGACTGAGACTCATCGGCCGAGGGATTCCGTCGCGCGTCAATCGATCTATCCAGAGGTATCGAAGTATCCAGAGGTGGAAGTGGCCGAGAGTGTCAATGACGCAAAATCTAAAGAAAGCTCCGAGGAGAAGGACGACGAGGAGGATGAGGATAAGGTGGAGAAGGAAGAAAAACAAGAAAAGGAGAAGGAGAAAGAAGAGACAGAGAACACGTATCACGTTCATGAGGACGTCAACGAGAACGTCCCTGCGACTACAACGAAACTACCGGTTCCTTTGGATTTTAAGAAAATCTCAAACTTCCAAAAATATTTAGAAACTGATCCGCCAGGATACGCGGAAACGTTCCCAGAAGAAAAGAAACCATCTAATAAAAATTTAGCGAACATGAAAAACAAGTCGGAGGACAGCGACGAAAAGAAGGACCAAGATCGTTCCAAGAGCATGGCTGATTCCTGGGAAGACGATTCCTCAGATAAGACTGAAGAACAAGTAGAAGTGTCGATGAAGACGAAGAAGGAGAAGAAAAACGATAACGATTTTTCTGAGGAATCTTCTTCGAAGGAAGAGGAAGGCTCGAAAAACGACCAGACGTTCTTCACATACACGACGCGGCCGTCATGGGTCGAGGATTACAAGGACAACAAGCGTTTCGAGAATACACTCTATCGTCCTTTCCCATTCAAGAGATACAAGTCGATGATAAAGAAGGAACAAAGCTCGGAGGATGAAGATTCCGAAGAAAAGAGCGAAGAGGTGAATGAGGATTATGCATTCCCTTGGCAAAGTGACAAAGAAAGTGACAAGAGCAGAAAACTGAAGGGTGTTGACAGATACGAGTATCCTTGGGAGAGAAGAGAAAGACTAGCTAAGGAGCGCAGGAAAAGGCGGCAGCGAGCGAAGAAATTTAAAAAACTGATCTTAGATGACGAGGACGAGGATGAGGATGAGGACGAGGACGAGGATGAGGATGAGGAAGAGAAAGAGTCCAGAAGACGCGAGAGGCCCCTTCTTGTTTGGGAGAAGTACAAGGTTCCTTCTAAGGGCCACGTGAACACCAGACGCGACGTCTCGTCCCAAAATACGGACGACAGCGAACAAGAGTCCAGCAGCGAGGAATTGACGTTGAAGAAGTTCAGTAGCAGATACAACGCCGACGTGGAGCCGACGATACGACCCTTCAGTGCGCATGAGATCGGCAGGTCCATCAAAAAATTACTAGAGGACGACTTTAACGAGTCCCAGGAAGAAACTTCGAAAGAGAAGACTTTGATGGAAGAGATTTCAAAGGAAGTCAAAGATCACTCCGTTTCGCCCACAAAGGTGTGGCCTGCCACAAGTCGAGGGATCTCCAGAGGGACGCTCGTGCCGGAAGACGTCACGCAGCCGCCGAGAAGAAAGTCCGGAAGAAGGAGAACTTCTCATTACGACAGGGACATCACGAGCAGCTCGCGATTCGATTCAGCGAAGAAGCTGAAGAGCAAGGAGACCAATGATGAGGAAGAAGAAGAGAAGGAAAGACTCGTGAAGGACTACCTGAAGCTGAGCAAGAGTAAGTCGGAGAAATCAGGGTTGCCGGCAACAGTAGCGAGTAGCCAGGTGTTTAACATCACGAAGGAAGCTTCTTCTTCGACTTCTGCGCCACGTAAGAAACGTCGACGTGTTATACCCAAAAACAACTCCACCATCTCGCTCGACAACGCGCCTGCCGAGTCTTCCACCATGTCTTTTATCGAGTCTTCCACTAATGTCACCAAGAGAAGACGCAGGAAACCTCGAGTGTCCACCACAACGTCAGCTACGCCTCCAGCGAATGATCTTAAGACAAATAAGTCGGATTTTACGTATCTACGAAGAAGGTACTCAACAGGCGATATCGTGAAAACGGACAGACCGAATTCCACCGAGAAGATTCCAAGTTCCACTGCTAGCACGGCCAAAGCCGGCAGTGTGGAAACGGAAGCTTCGACCCCGAAGACGAGAACGATCGAACATCGGTCGCGAGTCTCGAAAGAGAAGGTCGTCACGAAGACGACGTATCCGAGCGAGACGGAGAACTTTGATGTCGCGAGGAAAAATGCAACGTTTGCGCTGCAAGAGCCGCTGAAGAAATTGAAAATCAAAGTAAACCGTCGGAACAGTAATAGTAAACAAAGAAACAATAATGGGAGTTCCGACATTAACGAGAAGCCGATTAAACGAAAGAACCAAGGGGAATATTATGACGTTCGGCTGAAGGAAGGTGATACCGGGAGATCGGTGACGTCGGAGAAACCTGAAGCCAAAGGAAATGAGAATCCTCTGAAAGATTTCGGGATGAGGAAAGAGGAGGTTAAGAAGATAAATAATTTTAGCCCTTTCAACGGGATCGTTAAGGATGAGAACGACTTTGAGGACGTGATGCCGTCAGAAGTAAGTTCGTCACCACACCACAGGACGACTCAGCTGACTCAATACAGCTCCAGACAGGCAACGTCCTCTTTGTCGTGGGTCTCTAATAATTACGATTAGTAAGGCACGGAATCCTACTTTCTTTTATTTTTTTCCCATGCAATGTCTTTAGAAAATGAAAATCTTGAATTAAATATCTGTGTCAGGATTGCGAATAATTAATTAACTTTTCAATTGATCATCGCGCGTATGATTGACGATTAATATGAGCCAATTCGATTGGAGACCGCCTAATTGACGATTGATTTCAACATATTCAATATAAGACAATTCGATTGACGATTCATTTCAACGAATTCAATTCAAGGCCGTTCAATTGGCGACTAGTATAAGCGAAGGGAGGATTATAAATCGTTCAATTAACCCTAGAAGGCAAAACTGAATTTACTGAGCTTCAAAAGCAAAAGTGGAGTGATACGGTACCGAGCTTGTCTCAATATTTTCTATCAATAGTAAATTAATAATTAAATAGTTTATTTTCTTCGTTTTTTAATGAGAAAAACGATTATGTATATAACATGTTTATTGTCAAAGAAATATTAAAAAATCCACTTAAAGCAAAACAATCACGAAAAAGTGCAAAAATAAATTTTTTTTAAATTTCGTTTGGGATGATAAGAAACCCCACATTTGATTTTTAGGATTAATAATTAAATTTAGCAAATTCAATTGAAGACTTTGTAATTGACGATTGATATGAGTAAATTCAATCAATTCAATCGAAGATTGTTCGGCGACGATTGTTAACCAGTACTACTTCCTCTCCCAACAACGCGAATCCTACTTAGCTTCTCAATCATTAGTATCTTCCATATGTGTGATATAACCATAAAATATAAAATATATAACCATAAAAATATAAAATATATAACCATAAATATCTACTATCCATAAAATTAAATGTAACCTTGAGTAATCGAACGCTTTTCGATTGGATCAATTATATTTGTTTATATTAATCGTTAATTAAACAGTTTTGAGTGAAATTTGTAAAGTTTATTTAATTAAAGTTTAATTAAAAGGTCTTCAATTAAATTTCAATTATTAATTAACAATCTTTGATTCCTTTCGCTCATATCAGTCGTTGATTGAACGATCTTTGATCAAATTCCTTGAATCAAACGTCAAATAAACATTCTTCAATTAATTTTGCTTGAATCAATCGTCAGTTAATTAAATCGAAGCATACTAATTCGAATTAATTATAATTGATTGAGAAAATAATTGATATTTTTACAACTCTGAAATCTATTAATACAACAAGCAACGACACTAAGGCCGATATTCATAGTTTAAACTATCTACAATCCTTGATTAAAGGTCGAGATCTTCGATTGATGAGAATATAATTAATTATGCTCATGATTAATTAATTAATTATGAACATAATTGATTACAGATTTGTGTTGATGAACTGTCATTCAGCAGTGTGGCTCGATACGTTTTTGTAAATTATGTAGAAATTAAACTAAATTTAATTAACGGAGAATTAAATTATGTAGAAATTAAACTAAATTTAATTAACGGAGAATTTTTTTGAAAATTAATGACGCTATAATTTGTTATCTAACAAATAATGAAACCGATCAGAAATTCATGAAGCTGATTTAATGAAATATTCATGAAGTTCTAATTTATTATTTATCAAATAATAACAGAGATACTCCGTGAATATCAGCCTAAACGTACAAAACATGAAAATTTTAAACAGTCCAATCAATTATTCATAATTTGATCACTAGTGACGCGAGTCCGCTAACAAAGAAATTTTACAATTTAAGACGTACGCGGTGAGCCACTTACTGAAGAATATTCCGCCGGGACGTAGAAACGATCAAGTCAAGCCGAGGATTGAGAACGATGCGTCTGTAATAAACGAGAAATCGAAGAAGCAAATTCGACGCAGCAAAGACAACGAAGACGCGACAGAGAGGCAGAAGTCGTTGTTGCAGACGAAGTTTATAAAGGATCCGCAACGCAGGCTGTACTATTACGTAGAGCGTAAATAATCCTAACTAGGGCTTTTACCGTTCGAGTGCAGAAGACATGAGTTTGGCTGCTCGTAGAACGGTGAACGTGAATACTCAGATCTTGAAAATTTTAAGATGTATAATCTGGGGGATAACTATACAATAATATTATTATATAGAATATATAATATTATTAAGATTATTAACAATAAATATTATAATAATATTATCATTATATATAAAGAAATATATTATATTTTATTATATAATAATATTATATATAACATATATATATATATATATATATATATATATATATATATATATAATATATAATAATATTATTATATAGTTGGAGCAAAATATCGCAAGGAGAAATCCTCGTCATTCAAATTTGCGATCGATCTTAGAGTTTACTCTTCTTTCTTTTACTTTATATGTGATTAATAATAATATATGAAGACAAACCGACCCCCCTCTTGGGATGGAGATTATCATAGTTATCGTTTAATTGTACAATTACAAGTGTAAGGAACTTGTAATTGTAATCACTAACAATAATTATCCTCACAAAGTTCAGAGATCTTTTCTTGAGACAGAAAAAGATAAAAAGGAGAACAAAGATATTCAACGCGACACTCGCACTCACTGTTAACCCCAGCACGCACAATATCTCCTCGAATTGTTTGTTTAGCGGTTCACACTACGTTGTGTAGCATATCCCAGCTAATTAATCGTTGTTCCAGAGAGAGAGAGAGCGCATTTTAGACGCCGACCGTGGCTAAACCGTAGCGATCCGGCCGAAGATGTTGTAACGGTTTCTTTTGTTGCGTTACATTGTTGTACATAATTCAGCATACCTTTGTTATAAATAAACGTTATAGAAGAACATTTCATAATTCACCTGGCTGGAAAGCGCCACCGTGCCGTTCTTGCCACCTCTTTTTGCCTTTTCCTTTTTTTGTCGCACGGCCACTGAGCGACGGCTTTTACGCACATCGCGAAGGAATCGCGCAAAACGTCAAGGAGCAATCGTAATCTACAGTCGCGAGGCAAGTTCCAATCCAAGGAACTCAGATTTTCTGCGAAGTCGTTACGCTCGCTCGCAAATTTTCAATGCGCTCGTAACAATCGCCTCACCTTTTTGCGAGGCGTCCGGCTGTTTTATATTAATCACGAAAAAGTGTACAATAATAATTCGCTTCGCATTTTAAGACGTTAATTGCGGCTCGTAGAAAACGACGGAATCATACTTTCTCTCGTTAGAAATTCTCTTAAACAATGGATCGTCGTTTATATCCGCGGATAACAATAATGGCGGCACTTCCAATAATTAGGCTTCCAATAGTTATACGTTTTTTTCATTAAATCGATATCTATCGTCGTTCTATCTTCGATAATCACGATGTTTCGTCGGCCGACGTTTAACATCGTAATGATCTCCGAGATCGCTTCTGCTGAGTCGTTATAGAAACTTTCTTACATAATCGCGTCCCGTTTCCGAAAAGCGGACTGCCATGATCTGATTTTCGGCGCGTGAGAACGCAATAGACGTTTCGAGCTGCTCCTTCTAACGACGCGGGCGAGATAGACACATCGGCAAAATATTTTCCAAACGTTTCCACCTCCCTTTTGAATATATATCTATAATAAAGTAGCTTTATTAAGCACTCTATTAATGGAAATATGTTGCAGTAAAGGAATATATATGTAATATCAAAAATAGCTGAAAGACTAAATGACGCAACGACAGCCTTACGACTGATAAATATAAAAATAAACCTTACTGTTATATTATACTTTATAATAATACCGAATAAAAATCTTATAAAATATATAAATAAAATAAATATGAACAGAATATATAATGCATGACAGTTAAGAAGGGGAAATGCCTTCAAATTAATTTATGTTAATTAATGTATTTATATATATATATATATATATATATATATATATATATAT